CGTGTTATGTCTCGATGATGAAGTGGATCTTAGGTCGTACAACACAACTGGGTGGAAGGTGGCAACCCCCTACCCGTCGATGTTAACCGTGGGCCTCCCACAGTAACCTCAGGCTATCCCATGCATATTTTTATAAATCGAGCGGAAAGACATCCGCCATTCTCTTGTATGGACACGTTATAACAGGCACTTTTCTAATGCCAGTGTATTAGAACAGATATTATTGTTGCTTTGTCCTGTGCGCGGCGCTCCTCAGCGGTCAAGCTGGTCTATGAACGATGGTCTAATATGCAATGGTCAAATATTCAGCGGCTGAGTGCAGTAAAATCTGCTGTTGCTAACAGCTAAGCCCGAACTAAAATGACCATTTTTGTGTCCGGAAACTCAATAATGCTGAGATATTAGGGCGCGGTGGCTCAACTCGAAAGGATCGGAACCTGTTGAGTGCTGACGTCTTGCGACACAGGAATTCGGACAATTTTACTGCATAGCATCAGTTTAGCAACGGAACGGCTTATCCTACCATATTAGCCAACAACGGCAGCCCTACAGATACATACTTCTGTCCCTCGGGGCTGGATTTTGGAGGAGGTTCAACCTCATATTCTACACACAGGTTGGATTAGCCCCTTAGACTTAGTCGAGCTTTTTGACCGAATGCTTTGGACTAGAACCTTAGTCGATTTTTCGTTTGGGCGTGCACATCGCAGCAGTGTCCCAGCCCTCACCCAACGGTAAAATCCACAATTGGAGTTTTACTTGTGCCGCATCATCTGCCGCGTAGGAACATCGTGTTTGTTATACGCATTCGCTGCTCACGGGAGGGCGGACAAAAAGAGTCATGGGATTGCTCACGCCCTCTAGTATTCTTGGCTGCTACTCTTATTCCCCTGTCCGTTCCGCCCATTGCCACGGCAGCGTATATGTTCTGGGTGTAGGCAAACCCATGAAGGTGTTCATATGGACAGTGCCCCCAAGCATGTCACCGCCCCTCAAGCATGTCACCGCCCTCGTTGGTTAAAATCCGCGCTCTAATTTTCATCGAGACCCGCAAGGTGCAAATTCTGAAGCCAATTAACCATCGAAGTTCTCCTGCACACACTACTGACGAGAGTGTAAAAATGTTTGCCGCATTTCTGGAAACTGAACATGCTAGACAAGCAAATTAATTGGGACAAAGAAATCTCGTCATGTGGATGTAGCAGAAAACGATGTTTAATTGATTCTGCAGTCACTGCAGCGAGTGATTTCGCACCCGTTCTGCAAATGGTTGCTTTCTTACTCCACTCGGTACTTGTAAATGGTCAAATCGGGGCTAACCGCCTGACCCCACCCACAGGAACTCGTCGACACTATAGTCACTTTTGAGATGTGGCATCCGCATATGCAGCCGCCGCTTGCGTTCTTATTCAGCCAAAGGCCTTTTCTGTCAATTACTAACCGCCATTTTTTTTATCTTACATGGACTGGTGGGCAATTTGCATTGACGCGTGAAGCGCCGTTATTGAGCCATCACACCGTATTTCCATTACCGAGACCTTGCTCCAACGGTTTCATGAAGAATGGTGAAAGGTAATGATAAAAGTTAATTTTCATGGCGGAAAGGCCACTTTACTGACGCCGTTCTCTGCAGACCAGCAACACGTTAGCACATCTGAGATTGGAGTAGTTTTTAGACCTGCATCTGGAGACAGAAGTATAAATTAAGGATCCATTTGTGAGAATGAGTTAAACCCGTTGCTCAATTGAGAATGTTCCTTAATCAGTGTTGTCTGGTATTCCTTCTCAAGAATACCGCGGGTTCCGGCGAACCGAAAAGGACAACCGGACAAAGTTATACTAGCTCGAAGAAGCTCAACTAGAAGAACTTGGGGTGAATCATAAGGATCTACTCTTTTTGGTTTCAATATACCACCATAGCCAGTTGTCACTCATTCGTCAACACTTAGGTTGAGGGAAACTAAACTCAGATAAACGCGCAGTGAGGCAGTGTGCAACATAATCATAAATAATGAGAGAATCTACATTTTCTTACTAGTGTTTAGCTCCTACACTTAATCACTTCCCTAAGTTCACATCAAGTGGCAACCGGTCGATCACATATGGCGGAAAAATATAGTAGTACAGCCCTTCTGTACGCTGAATGTGGATCATGGAGAGGCATCAGCCGCTCTAGACACACTGGAAACATCAGAAATTGGTGTTCGAACATTTGGATGCGTTGGACGTATTCTTTGGACTGTAACCTTCCATTTGGTAAAACCAAAGACTTCATAAAGACAAAAAGCCTTCGGATACCTGAAGCCAGCTTCCAAAATCACAACTCGTAATGTTCTCGATAATGACTTCAAGAGTCATGGATCTTTATTACTCTTATGTACCCGAGCGGAGACTGATTCTATATTCGCAATTCACGAATTCCGAACAGGCGTCACAATTACTCACTAGGCGTAGAAATTTTGGGTGCCTTTGTGTCGCATTCGCCCCTTTTTCTTCCTTGAAGTAGACTCCTGGATTCACCTAAAAATTCTAGGTCGCGCCCGTCTCGGATCACCTTGTGTTTGGGTTGAACTATTTCCACTATATTAAACTATTCACACGTCGAGAACTGTTATTACTAACCAATTTTTTCTAATCCGAGTTTATGGGCCATCGGCCACCGAATATGGCATTTATCTAGTAATTTCACTGTTTATGCATATTTTTATATCCCTATTGTTTTGTGCACGGATTCAAACATTGTGTGTGGTTATCGTGGTGTGTTGTTCAATTGCCTCATCGGATCATAACACGGAGGGGATACTAAGGAGGAATAACTTACAATCATTTTTGGGAAAGTTTACTCTGTACGATTATCAGACGCTTTTTGAACGAAAATGGAACTGAAAACGCGAATCCCCTGCGGATCTTGCAGCCGTCAATTCTTTGCAACCTCTCTGGTGAGTGTAAGCTTTTGGCCGCCACGTCCTATCGTGGCAAGCTTTCATGAATTCGTTGATTCTCTTCTAAAGGCTAGTATTCGAGGTGTTTCATACAGAAGTACTAAAGCAAGGCTGAAAAGCGAGTGATAAAATCTACTTACATTCGTCTACTTGTAGTCGATGACCTTATGAAGTGAACCAAATTACAGAATATTACAGGTTTCTACTCAAGGTGTTTGGTTTTCAAAAGTGCCTTAGTGGTTCCCATGTCCCAGGTTTCTCAGGAGACTCCTCCCATAAGTTTCAACGGTCCTCGTTTTTCGAATAACTAGATGCGATTTGAACACTCTCACAGGTTATGCATGCTGAACCTGAGAAAATATCTACGTTGTCGTTGTGGCCAGTATGTAGCCGATGGTCTACGGTGCGAAGACTGCGAAGGCTGATCCCACAAAAATCTCAGTTAGCATCGGTGCAGAAATTTCTGCAGAATGTCTGCACCCAGATGCGGACATTTCCGCACAGTTTCCGCAGATTTCTGCACCCGGGTGCGGAAATAGTGCAGAAGTTTCCGCATCCAGGTGCGGAAAATCCGTACTCGGTACCAGGATTTCTGCACCCAGTCCGCACTTAGCTAAGGTCGTCCGACGCGCAAATATAGCTCATTATAAGGATTTATCTCTTTTCTTAGTACGACTCAGTAACATCCTAAAGACTAAGTGATAACCCACCTGCCCCCACATAATTGCTCAGCTTATTACCTTTCCGGATCGGATAAAGCGCCTTCAAGTACAAATGTTTTAATGAATGAACTTTAAAAAAATACGGGGGGAAGATCATTTGTCACTCTTGGTGGCTCTCTGCAGGCGTTTCCGAACTTTCTGCCGTTCGTTCTCCAGCCAGCGATGAACGATTTCCTTTATTTGTCGCAGATTTGTGTTCGAAAACTTCTCAGTTGTCGCGTCTGTAATGAAGAACATACCTATTGAGTTTCATCCAGACACTGATTCAACTAGCTAAATATAAAATAACAATTAACTACTTACAAATAAGTCCTTGGACCAGCCTGGTTGACCCGAGGGCTTCTTTTTCATTTATTCCGCGCCAGTTGAATAGTACGGCTAACCTTGGTGCCAACGTCCGCGTAAGCACGTTGGTCACGTACACTTGTACATCGCCAGGCTCCTGCAAGAGCCACCTTTCCACCTTTGTGAAATCAACAATCGTTACTACAACTAATACTTACCAGCTGCGCATGGTGGACCATCTCTTAGATGTTTTTCATACTTTCGGAGATCATCCATGGATGAAAGCGGAAGAGGGGGCTCGCTGAGTGCCTCAGAACTGCTGATGGGTACTAAAGTGTCTAGCTTTATGTGCAGTCTTTGGAGCGACGAGTAACTCCTCTCTAAATTTTCTATAAAATAGTTTAACTAAAACAAGGTAATCTACTCACTGAGAATGAGGTTGGCCAGGTCCGGGAAAATTACGCTGGCCTTGAAATTTGGAGAGTTAGTTCTAAAAAGTAAAGTGCATGAAATGTTAAGAAAGCCTGAGAATCGGGGTAGAACTGCGTGGTTCTGGATCGCCCACGGCGGGAAGTGTTGTATACGTGGAACTGCTGATAGATTCCAGATGGTGGTAATGAAATAAAACGTACGTTCCACATATCATCAGGGCATCACGAGGGACGGGTGGCGCGTCTTGAACAGGAATGACACTACTACTCATGGCAGACGGATTGGTACATCTGAAAATGAGGATTTTACAAATTAAAAAGCTGGTAGGTGCGGGAGGACATACACTCTTTTTGGAGTTGGTGAGTTATGACTATATTCGCAAACAAAGTGGTGTCACCGATCCGTCCGTAAAATCAGACAGCAGCCGTTTCTTTGTACTGCAACCATCGTAATACGATTGATGAACATACTGTTTGCGCCTGGATTGACGTACGAGCCGTTCATCGTTTTGCTCCGCAGAGGAGGTATGCCCTGAGTCAAGGGCTTCCTGCTGAGCACTCAGTGCATCCGGAAAAGCTTCTAGAACGTTTTTAACTGAAGATGGACTTACTGCACTGCCGATACACTTCGCATGTGCACGACTTGAGTGGACATTTTGGTAGAGTACCCCTCAGTAAGTTGGCATAAAGAGTGCTCGTTGTGCACGAGGGCCAAAGGACTGAATCGGGCAGTACGAACCACGATTCATGCACTATGCCAACAGAGTTGTCCGCAAATATGAGAACGGCGTATATGGTTGAAAAACAACTTCCAAATACGACATTTAACAGGAGAATATCCACAGGCAAACGGAAGCTTTGATGAAATAACACAACACCAACATAAATGTGCATATATATTTTACGAACTAATGAGTAATACAAGTAATAAATGCATACATGTGTCGAGTGCCAGTGGTAAGAGTACTGACTAATCGATAAGGGTATGCAAACTGGGGAAGTATATACGAGTGTCTCTGCAGAAGAAGCCTAAGCATTTACAAGATATTTGGTCGACTGACGCAAACAGCCGAGTGTGTTGCAAGCCGGAGCATTGAAAAACTAAAACGTCTGTTGATATCAATACGTGAGTGTAAAACGGGAGAACAGTTTTGAATTTCTGGTACTCAATAGTATCTCCAGAAAAATCTACAATGATAGCTGGTTGATCATCAACCAAAATGCAGTTGTCGGGAAAGTTTTTCGAAAAAACGACATCCCTATGAATAAACCTGTGACATCCGGCAGTGGGTGATGGCCTCAGTCGCAAACCAACATCATCCAAAAATATCTTCCTTTCGACAGCATCCAATTCCACACGCTCGGCGAGTCGGCGGTAAAGCTGAACAGCTGGTGGTTTTGGCCAACGTATGTAATGCTTCAAATGCCCCAGCTCCGATTCATAGGGACAACAGGAAAAAGGTTCTCCAGGGACCGCAGTGGTGAATGTCTTTCTGGTTTCAAAGTCCTGATAACAGGGATCGGGGAAAACGCCGGCAAACATCGTGGTAAATCGCAGCCTAGTTTATCACCTGGAACGATCAAATTCGGCATATCTAGAGCCTATCATCTGGTTAGTCATCAATCTAACCCTCATATAGTCGACTAAAGATATTATGGACGCATTCATCAGTCGGGTAAGGAAAACAGTCACTTGCCGCAACCGCCTGTCGTACTTTCCTATATAGCGTTGTTCTTGAAGAGCCTTTACGAGCAACACGAACAAATTTCGGGCGCACTGACGGTCACTTGAAATGAAAAATATTTTTTACGGTTTCGTTCACGTAAACACACCAGGAATAAAACCTACGAAAACACAACAAAACTCACTCTCAGCCGCACGGGAGGACAAGCAGAACGCAGAGCTTCCCGCGATCAATGGCGCCGCACAGTAAAACAAAACCACTTAAATCGGTTGAGCGTTTGCATCTACCAGGCACACAGAAATGCAAGGTATTGTGTTTTTTTATTACTGTGAGACAAATAAAGAAGCTCTGATATCTATTAAACGTCTCAATCCCCCGAGGCTTAAAAGCCGAAAATTAATGCAGAAGTTCTGCACAGATTCCGCACAGGTTCTGCACCCAGGAGCGGGGGCGTGCTGACTGGGATTAGTATTGATCCATATTGTTACTACTAGGTCGAACTAAGCCGACATCTGTCAGGCATATGAAGACCAAGACATTCATTGGACTTGCCCAACAGCTGAAGTTTTTGTTGGTGACAAATCTCTCGGGTACGTGAACAAAATTGATAAGCACCATATACTAGGCGTTAGGGTTCGTGGTGATGGTTGGTAAACTGCATCTCTATGAGCACTCGGGTTGGCAGACTACTGGAAGTAAAGCTCGAAATTGAAAATGGTGTAATGGAAAACTGCATGCACACTTCAATGGGGTTCAAATTTTTTAAATGTTTTTTCCACAAACCAGAAGCAAAAAACGAACATATCACACAAAATAACTAGATATATGCATCTCTGAGACGATAGAATAATAAGTGGCGAAACAACGTCACGCATGAAGCCCATATAAGCACTAAGTTTTTGAAGGTGGCCTGCAGGCCCGACGTTTGATAAAAGGTCCTTTTTGACGTGTTGCATGCAAAGGTTGTTTACCCATACGTGTTTTAACTTCACCAGCGGACAGCCCTACTTGTTCTTCCGTACACCAATGCTGGGAACGTGTAACCAGTAGCGGTATACAATATAAAAATCATCATTTTTTTAAAGTGGGAGCCCTATTTCTTTCAACAGTGGTGATTGCTGAGTCCTACAAGGAAACCTCCGTTCTTGCTGCCGATGCTGCTCTCAGCTAGAGAGAATGCAACAATTAAGAGTCAACATTCTATATTTTTCGACGAATTTTCGCAGATGTGACAAAGAAACGCCCATGTGGCTACATTGAGACAAAATTTGTGAAAATCAACTGCTTGTCATCTCAAATGGTGAGTTTTTGGAGTTCATGTGACAAATGTTTTTGAATTATGGGAATAATGAACACGTCTTGAGGCTGAGAGACGCCAAAATCTAAACACAGCACAAATAACCGGCAGAGGAGTGTATTACGCAACCGAAGTACCCCTGACTATTAGCGTCAACTGAGAATGTAAGGATAGAAACCACAGATAAATGACTTCCTTGCGATGACTTGCCTTTTGCGTCTTCTACTGCGCTATCTGCGTAGAGATTCGACTGAGATTCGACTAGGCGAGCTGTTAGTGTAACATTTCCACTTCGGCGCGGATCACGGATTGTTTCACGCAAAAGAACGCGTTTTCAAGACATTTACTTGATATACGAATAAAGATGCAGGATGTGTCGATTGTACGCGGCCGAATGAAAGAACTTCTTTTATTTCAGAAATATGCTACGGTTTTTGAGTCCGGACTTAAAGCCAAACTAAGCATCTGTATCCTAGATATTGTGCCTATTTGGTAGGTAACAAAGTCTATAATGGTGGTGCATACATGCCCACCCTATCACTGGAGACCTTGAGTATTACAGAAGAAGAAGTGAGAC